GTTGGTTGTTGACAAGTGAATGGGAGAAAGTATGTCTCAGATTTGTGGACTGTAGGCTATATTATAAATTTATGATGCAGTAATCACTAATGAACACTTCTTAATTGTACATTGGAATTCAGAATTTTCTGTGGTTTTTCTATTAAAGTACTTAGCCTAGTTATGCTACTCATGCGGAATTTGTTGAGTTTAAACTGCAGACATTCAGAAAATTTAATAATTACATAACAGTTGTGACACTTAAACCCTATGCAGATATAAATAACATATGATTTATTTCAATCGTGTCTTTTAGACATTTATTTTAGACTCAAATGTTTTCGAAATAACGACTCCTTGATTTCATTTCAACAATAATAGTTTGCTTGACGCTGATGATGGCTTAATGTAACAGTTTTTGTTCACATTCATTTTCTTCGCAGTATTTCGTAACAGGATGAAACAATTTGCAAATCTCAACAGCTTCGGCACGCAAAGTATTGTTTCTATTTCCTTACAAATTATTATTGTCTCTGTACTTTTTCATTGTTACACCTTTATTTCATAACTGAATCATCGAACCGTTCTTCATTGTACTCAGACTAAGAGGGAGAGAGAGAGAGAGAGAGAGAGAGAGAGAGGTGTTTGGCCGAAGCCCAGCGGTCCCACCACCACCCCTGGTTTAAGTCAGAGAGAGAGAGAGAGAGAGAGGGAGAGAGAGAGAGAGAGAGATCGGTACAGACGTAACCAGTGAACAGGTGTGTGCGGAACAGACGTGGCATTAACATTACAAAACATCGCCATGAATAGTCAGCTGATCACGAATATAACTCGTGAAGGTCGGACTCGAACCTGTGACCTCGCGACCTCTTGTCAGATGTCGACTGCGAATTTGTACAAGAGATCCAGACAGGTGCTACAATAACGTTGTAGAATCAGAGGAAAGATTTTAGGATTTAGGACACGAATCCTTGGCGTTTCAGGAGTGAAGAGGATTTCTATCCTATGACTACTGTATCATTATTAAAGATTATTTTGGATTTTGAACTGAAACGAATTAGGGTGAAGCATTGAATGTTGGATAATGGTACCCCTACGTCTATTCTATGTGAATTTGCTGTAGCAAATTTTAAATTAAAATTGGATATATTTGGACGAGCCACTCGAAGATAGTACTAATGTCAAAGTTATACATGCATCCCTTAGGTTTTAGTATTATAGTTGCTTAGATATAAAATACATAGTTTCCAATAAGTTCTCCTATAATTTTAAGAATATGCGTTTTTGACTAAAGCACATAATGAATGAATACCATTCATGGGTGAATGGTGAATCGATTTGTTTTAATTTGAAAACTCGATACAGCGTTAATTTAGGAATTCTGTTTATTTTTACCAAGTAGTGTCAAAATGTTTACACAGTTTGTTGTACAGAATGTTTCCTCGGTGGTGAACATCAACGTTAGGTGGTATAGAATGTTGATTGCCAATATAAATACGATTCTAATTCAAAGTTTCTAGAAAACACACACTACAAACTTTAAGGTTTGAGGTTTAGCTCTAATGCCGTCTTAGCGTTTAATGGGTTCCATATCAAAGGAATTTCGGTCCAAGTAGTTGTTCATATTCAAAACAATAGTTCCATCGTTTCGAAAAAAACCTCAAGCTAACGTCTTAAACAATCGACAAATCAAAACCAACGACCAAACCCCAGCTGCGCGAGCACCTGGCTGCGATAGCCATCTCTGATAACATCACGACCTTATCAATATGCGTAGGCGGTCCACAGCCTTCTAAGGCGCAAACGGAAGTTGGACGTCGGTAACGGAAGTGTCGACAACAATGTGCAGTGGCTCCTTGAGGAGTCACCATAAGCTCCTCTTTGACAGATTGTGAATACTATCTAGAGGGGGCTTTGTTTAGCAGTATAATTTACTTAAATAAGTATAGTCCCTACTCGACTAAATGAAAATAAAAACTGTACAGACACTGAAACAGAGACATATATGTACAAGAATTATACAATGTTAAGACAAGTAAATCTAAGATTACTCTTCAAGCTCACCCGTGCAATCGTCCCAGTGTGCGAAGTAAGCGAAGCTCCTATATGCCTACTACACTCCTGCTTTAAAAATACAGTTTTACAAATACTCCTCCCAAACGGCTGAAGTGATCAGCACGAAATTTAGCACAGACAAGGTAACTAACTATGGAAAGGTATCTGAAATGGTACAAATCGGACAACAGGACTTTTCCCTACACGAATTTAAACTTTAAAAAATTTAACATGGACTTTATGGGCTAATTGGTTGTGATGACAGTATTTGAAAAATAACAATAAAAATGTAAACAAAAGTCGTCACATGTTTTAGCGCGTTACGAAATAGAGACCAAAAGGAAAGAACGATCGGATTGATAACGTTGAGCATTATTTGCTACAAAATTAATAACCAATTAGGATTATAAACCATTGGCTTTGCAAACTGCAAGTAGACATTCCATTTACGTGAACAAGACGTAACTTACCGTTTACTTTGGATACTGCGAATTTGATTCCATTTATGGGAACCAAATATATAATTAGCTTTTGATACAGCAATTAGATATTGCATTGACGTGAACCAGATGCAGCATTTACTAAGATAGTGGAAGTAGGACCCATTAACAAGAAACCGGTACAGCATTGACTTTGGATACTGCAAGTAGACTTTCTATTTACTTGAACCAGACTTGCCCCTGACATTAGATACTGCAAGTAGACGTTCCATTTATGTGAACCAAATGGACCATTGACTTTGGATACTGCAAGTTATTATTGAACAATGGTACAAAATATACATTATACTCGATAAACGCACACACACACACACACACACACTTATGTATATCTCAATCCTCAAGTTAAACCACCAAATGACATCCAAACTCATCATTGCAATAAACATTCCAAGCAAAACTTGCACTTTCTTACTTTATTACTGCTCCACATTAATCCAACCCCTTTCTAGAAAACTACGTAACAAGCGCTTTCTTAAGCAATGTGTAACGCCGCATGAGCACCATCAGTTTAATTGAAGCAAGATAAGTGTGTTCCCACCGTTTATAGAATAGCGCACGATCCACGATGCGTAGCGAAAGTGAGCTATTGCTTGCACTGGGTTTGCAGAAAATAACTCATTTAATTTCCGCTCTAGGGGTTGAAGCGTTCTTCGCAAATTAGTCAATTATAAATCACCTGTGAACTGTGGGTTTAGTAGTCTGTTTACTTGGGGTATGGTGGGAAATCAATTTTGAGTTGGAGCAAGCAAACCTAAGTACTTGTTAAATGTAATTTTATTTAAATAGGGGATAAATATGACTTGTTTATGGAGTATGGAGGTATTTTAGTTAAAATCCAATGAGAGGATTAAAAATTTTATAATTCTTTTTATACTCTACTACAACTTTAGAGGGAGCTCCTTAAAAAATCGGTTACAACTCTAGGAGTTCTGCCATAAAGTAATCCCTTCAGTAATCATTAACGTTTCATTTTAATTAATAACTAACCAAGGTACGAGACTTAGAACTATTTACTTAAAGCATTCTCCATTATCTGTTCAAACCCTAAATGACAGAAAACATGCGCAACCAGCAGAACTAAGATATCGCTGACGATATAAACGTCGCGCCATCAGCGATACGATAAGAAACATCACAGTCATCGAAATCAAACTACTAGTGTTAACTTACTGCAAACTGAGAGATACAATTGACAAGTATCGAATACTTGTTACGGTTTAATCGAGTACTTGTCTGACGTTTGGAATTTAAAATGTGATAAAATAATGAAATTAGTCGCATAATTTGTGAACACAATGAAGTGGGTGGTTTTTCTCACATCAGTGGGGAACATGTTATGAGATGATACAGTAAATAACATTGAATTTGTACTTTGCAAATAAGCTTTACATCCTATCATAGGTCTACTGTAGATCGCAGTTTTGAACTAACCGCCTTCTCAACGTATATTTAGTTTAGTATTTACACTGAATACAGTACAATTTCGATGTTATTCTTTTATTCAAAATTAAAATGATATGATGACGGCAAGATCTAGGTAATTAGTAAAGTTAATTTGTTTGTCAATCCAAATAAGTTTACTGGTATCTCTGAAAGGTTGTTGTAACATCAGTGTAGCTGATTTTTATTTACAATCAGGTATTGAGCAACAATGAAATGAGATCAGCTGAGTAAACAATTGGACATCACTTCAATGCAGGCTGCTCACTTGTCTTTTGTAAATATTGTTCAAAGAATACTGTGAATTGACAACAGTACTGTAATGAATTAATAAAATATGAACTGCTTATCGGATTGAATATTCGGCTATTTAAATATAATTTATATCAAAAGTTACCTTAAGGTGACAATATTTACAAAGCACTATTACAAGGCTGTTATATAAATTTCAATTGCTTGTCGTTTCTGGTTACCTACTGTATGCGAATTTGTAAAGATTTTGGAACTGTGAAATACTTTTAAGTCTCATCCCATCCCTCCCAATAATGAAACCCAACTTTATGCTGTTACGAAAGTATTTACGAAACAATTACATAGACTGCCAAACAGTTAAACGCAATTTATATTTATTCTTGAATTTGAACAGAAATATAGGTGTCTAACAATAGAATATTTTACAATACAGTAAGTTCAGTTATTTTTAAATTAAATAATATATAATGGAAAATAATCTTCAGGATTAGAGCCAAATGAATTCAGGATCAAATAAAGCCAGAAATATAGATTTCCCTTCGGTAAAACCGACTTAAACATTCACGGAATCACCCCACCAGCCATAGGAATGTCGTTGCTAATTAATTTAGAGAAACCCACTCTCTCCGGCAATCAAAACAGTCATTATGCGACATAGCTCGAGACGCAAAATAAACAAATCAGGTGTCAACAAATACCGAAGAGGTCGACGCACCTGAGTTAGGGTAGGGTTACAGGTGTGGGAAGTTGCATCATTGTTACTACACTCACCCCTGCGACCTCTCCAGTAGAACTTCCACAGAAAGTAGGCTATCGCTAGGACGACGAGGGTGGCCACCACCGAGCCTAGGACGGCGCCGACGAGACTGCCAGAGGATACACATCCCTCCTGGGCAGACACCAGGGTAAACACACAGAATAGACATAGTAGCACCGGGCCTGTAGACATGGTCACCATCACATGCTAAACTACACGGCCTTGGATGTTATGTCCGGCGAGAGTCGTAAAATGTCAAACTTGGAACAAATCACTACATTCTTCCACACACCGTTAAGTTTACCGCGCACTTGTAAACAAACACTACGAAAGGAGGGAAACAGCTGGTCGTGCGTTCACACCAGAGGTTGCCGAGGGACTGTCGCGCGGCCGGATTCCTCAGTGCAGACCCCACGACAAGACGTGGGGCTCCGCCCACCTCTCCTACCTGGCGAACCTCGAACTCCACATCGTGTAGTGTGGTGGCATCCCTCAAGGTCGCCAGAGAAATCTACCTGTTTGGTTTTTATGGAGGGGAAGTGGCCCGACCGGCCGAACATATTTAAAAATTAATAAACAAGAATGCAAATTCCACCTGTTCGGTTTTCGGTCTCCCACTAAATGGAAATGGTACGGATTATTTTGAAGTGTTTCTTAGAAGATATTTTTAAAATATAAATGTAGTAGGCTTGTGTAATTACTTTTTTATTCTATTAATTAAAACACGTTTGGTTACAGTACAGTTTAAAATAAAAATAAATTATATCAGTATCCTTTGACATATACTTTCTCTCATTAGCTTGTCAACAACTCTTTCTTATAATGGGTAAGGCGGGAGTAACTATATTTTAAAGGGGTTATCACAAAAATTGCAATAACTTTTGAACCGTAATTTTTACTGCGTTGGGGCCCCCCCAACGGGGGGGGGGTGTCATTTTGTTTAGTGTTAAAAGGACCGTGACATACTAAATATAGATAAAAATATTTCGTGTCGATATTGTAAAAATCACAGTTAAAAAAAAAATTAAAACGTGTGCCTGAAGATACCTGTTAGTAGTAGGCACTAACTACCCCCTTACAGAATTTCATCAAAATTGAACAACTGGGTCCTGTTTCATAAAAATACTAGTCTACTTCAAATAATACGGGTGAAGAGAGGTTGGTAGAAAATGGCAAGTATTTACTAGTGTAATTTACAAGAGTAAAACTTTATGAAACACATTGCTGTCTACACTAGTAAAAACCACTAGTAATACTAGTCCGTACACTAGTAACTAGTATTTTACACTAGTAGGTTTTTGAAACGTAGACTTAGTATTTACTAGTCCATTAGTAAATACTAGACTAGTATTTTTATGAAACAGGGCCCATGTGTATTCTGTAGATCCGTACACATCCACACACAGCCAGATCACTTCAAACCCCACTTTTGGCTTCAGGGGGGCCAAAAACGTTTATTTCCACCAAAAAGTCAAAATTCTTTAAGAAAACAAAACTTTCTTCAAATGTTTCTTCTTCATGTTCAAATGTTCAACTCAAAAAAAAACTGTACCCTATATTTATAATACTTGTGTTATTCTTATTATAACAATAAACTATTGTAATTTGCTTGTTTATGGATATTATGTAATCAACTTTTTCAAACTTATTTATTGAATACATAAAAAAAAATACTTTCTTCCTTAGTATGCAGGTTTCTGTGGCAAGGGTTTTGTTAAGGCATTTTTTAGGAGACTAACTGTTTTGCTAGCTACAACTACGTAATGTGATTTTTATCATACTGCAGTAAAAAAATGCTGTTTTTAATTGAGTTTTTGGTTTAAAGAAACTACTAGGAAGTAAAAATCTTGCTGAACATTTTGCTCACTTGTAAACTTTGATTGTAAGCATGTAAACCGCAAACTGGCTTTGAGTAAACTATAATGTGTATTTTCTTGAATCAAGGATTATCTGACCCTTCAGCATTCAATTAAAGACAGCTGGGTCCAGCATAGTAGTATATTTCATCACTAGGACATAATATGACTATTTTTAACCCAAGCTTAGCTTAAAGCAAAACTTGTAAGTTCAACTTAGAAAATGAGGGAGGGTTTAAAAAAAACATTTTACCTGTGTGATGAACTATACTTTTGTCATATTGTATCAATATTTAACAAACTGAGTTAAAAAACGAAAATACTTTTCATGTACAAATAACCACTCAAAACGACTGCCAGCTTAATTTCAATCTAAACAAGCAGCTCTTGTGATTCAATCATTTTTTCTATTATGATATATGTGTTGTTGTACATTACACTATTGATATGTCAAACTATTGATAAGAATGCAACAATAAGCTATACACCCGATTAAAACAATCAATGCATAATTTTGAGACCTGCGAAGCGTAGTTTACAACAGTTGACTTCCACTCCCTAGAAACTAAACAGGATTTTTGCTCCCTAGGGAGTAAAAGAGCTACTTTATACCTGCAACAACTGTTGTTTTTTTGCAGTATGAGTAGTATGACGAAAAATAGTAAAAACACTCAGAGACGATGAATATATAGTTGAGAGACCTCTAGACAAAAGTCCCGTACGAAGGACGGCTACTCTGCTAGTCTTCAATATATAGGCCTCTTCTTTCTGTTGGGTAACATTACAACTGATACAGATAAGACCGATCATGACATATTACAGATTACATACGCTAAGTTTTAAGGTTAAAAATATTATTCAGGGAAAAATAATGCACAAAAATGAACTTTTTTAAATTTTATTACAACATTGATTAGAAACACTACTATAGCAATAAATCTGTTAAACAAAATATGAATAGCTAACACCACAACAGTTTAATCTGATGAGCAATTAAAACCTACATAGATATCAATTTATAAAAATATTAATTAGCAGAGACTTTGCAAGAGCTTTATTATTATATCACAACTTCAAATAGGATCACAGTGAATAGTTAATTGGCAATTAGTAATTAGGTAGTTATCATAAGCTCAAAGACAAAACAAAATTACATAACATTCATAGAGATGAAGATTATGATCTGGGATTTTAAAACCGTAGTTGAATAAAATATGAAGAATTAGACATTGAGTTGAGAAGTTAAAAGTGTGCGTGCTGAAACTCTTTTTAAAAGCTTTGGCTTGATTTTTAACTTAAAATGACACAAACAAATATATCTCCAACAAAGTTTAAAATTAAAAACTTACAATCAGAGATTATTTTGCAAACAGACTGCTAACAATAATGCATTGATTACATTGTTAAAAAGTACATACCGTACATTAAAACCTAAGCAAAGTAACTGTGTTATAAACAACCTCTTAAAACAGTACAACAGTTCATTCTTTGGTATTTATGTGCTTAACTTCCTGATACTTCATTCTACACATAATACAAAACTCCACTAAAAGTTAACTTGTATCTTCACCCGTTAGTACTAAATATCACTTGTTAAAGCTTACAATAAAGTTCTTCATGCATATAAATAGCTTTTGAAAGTGTTTGGACCCAACAAGAATGTATAAGAGTTAAATCAGTCTTGAAGTTATCAGTTAGGTACCACCTTTCAGGTGCCAAATTTACAATGACTTTTCTTTAACATCTTCTTTGATGACTTCAAACTTGAGTCCGTAAGATGACAAATCTTTGATCAAAGAGGTTTTGGCAAATGCAGCACCTGGTGGTAATACACCGCCTCTGAAATAAAATGTAGCTGTTATAGGAAATGTTATAAAAAGTGAAAGCAGTTCAGCATACAAGTGACACAGTTCAATCCTAGTATGTACTTGCAAATAATTAACAGAACAACATATTTTTTTATGTTTAACCATCATAGTTTGAGTTATGTACAGAAGATGCTGTTCCCGTTCTTTTTAACCTTTCATCATGTGCATAGTGGAGGTTATTTACACCTTCTACATTATCAAATATTTTGTAAAAATATAAAAATGCATCAACCAAATTAATCATAAATGTAACTTGTAGGTTTCTTTTGAGTAACTTAATTTCATTTGACTTTAGGCGGTTTCAATTGTTATATTGAAGAGATGTTGATTTTTTTTATCAGGGCTGCAAGGTAGCTTTCACAGAGTGCCTCTGAGTGGCACACGGAGTTACTCTGAAGTGTGGAGTTAACTTACAAGGGCAGCCATAAATCAAGCTGTTTGTAAAATTTTTCATTAACAAAATTGTTACATGTTGCGTTTTGTATTCTTTCAGTAACATTAAAACTGATGAATATTTTTTCAACCCTTACTATACCGGTAGTTCTTATTTTTGAGATGACATATTACAGTTCATCTTCAGGCAGATCGTCATAATGCCCAAGTGTGAATAAAACGTGCTGATGTAAAAGATAGTTAATTTTAAGTTTCTTTGTGTTTTTTCTTTTGTGTGTCCTTACACACTTTCTTTAAAAAGGTCAAGGGTAATCTTGACAAACATTGAATGATGCACTAAATTAAAATTAAGTACACTGCTGCTAATACTGAACTGTATTGAGCTCAAAACATGTACAATAAATACTTTATTATGTCAGCATCAGCATGATGGATAATTCAATAATTTAACACCAATAAGACTATGTAAGAAGATGACATTGAATAATTGCATATTAAGGTGTCAAGTGTGGTGGAAATATTATGAAGAAAACTTACTTGCCAGGCATTTTGTCCCCATCCTTGATTATGGTTATTCCAGCTAGGAGCAGGGCTGTAGTGGTTAAGCCATAACCTGGGTCTCGTCCAGACACCTGCACATGACAACATTTACAATGGAAACTTAAACTGTATTTGTATAAGGTAAAGTTAGCAAACAATAAAATAAAACATTGTTCTAGGATTCTATTATCTTTTAATGTTTATCTTAGGGATGTTAGTCCTTCTAAAACATACCTATACAAAAATTAATACCTAAAGCAGGCATTGCCACAAAACACAATAATTATAAACGACAAATGTTTTGAGTTGCAAATTGAAAAAGAAAACCCTAAAGAGGAACAGTTTGATATTTAATTTTTTCGGTTTGTTTATGAATCAAGTTATGTTTTGGATTTTCTTCCCTAAAGACGAGATCAGATTCCACATTTTGAATCATAAAACTTCCGTTTAACTAATAAGTAGTAAACACTTTCACAATAGTTCTTTAAGCAAGTTCAACTTTATTCTTCTGTCCAATCACCTACCTTGGTGACCAGAGTCTTGTTGGGAGGTTCAGTGTGAGGCCCCTCAACTGCCTTCTCTGTCCAGCCAACACCGCTGAATGTGATGGAGAATTCTGTGTTTGTCAGTGTCTTCTCACTCGGACCTTCGTGACTGACGAATCCAAACGAGAAAAACTTTGGGTGCTACAACCACAAAAGATTCACATATTGCTATTACAAAAAAACAGTTCCCAAAATAATTGTTTTCATGTTGTTGATTTAAAAGGTATAGGTCTAATTATTCCTCATCTTAGCAAGTTACTCACATTTTTACTATAGAAAGTATGGTTTTTCGTAAAAAATTTTTTAAGTACGAGTTTTGTGTTGATGTATCCGTTTTGGGTCCTCCTGAACCCAAAACAGGTTTTGAAAGTGATGTCCGTGTGTTATTTGGTGTGTGTCTGTATGTGTACAGAGAGAGCTGCAGACCACACGTGTGGTCCGATTTTGGTGAAAATTGGAATATGGGTACTAATTTATGGTATCTCCAGGGATATTTTGATTTTTTAGAAGTTTTGAGTTTTATTGCTTATTTCCCCATAAAGTAACAGAAAATTACAAATTAAAAAAGTCCCGATTTTTAAATTTATATACAACATTGAAATTTACAAAACTGGAAACACACGTCATGGATTAAAGCAACTACCTAACCATAAACAGGAAAGTCCAAACTACAATCTCTATCATCGAAATGCTTAAATTCAAATTCCAACACCCCCAGTCCAAGAAATGAAACGGAGGAAGGAAGACCAACAGTAGACCTCACATGTGATATTAAAAAAAATCATAAAGGCAGTTTTACAAGGGTAGAGTTGTTGGTAGTGTAGAGTTTATAGTAGAGCTACTTTCTTGTCCGCTCTACCAATCAAGCGACTGTTCATACGTAGTAGTGTTGATGATAGTTTGTGAACTGTGTGTTCCTCCTCCATTCCCAAAATGAGTGTTCAAAACCAGTTGAGTTACAAGACAGCGTTACTCTACTGCCGACTGACCGACACATCACGTTTACACAAGTATAGTCTGCAGGAGAGTGACAATTTTGCTAGTGGTGGGGGAAGTAGAGTAGAGATACTATGCCACATGTTGCTACCACCTACTATCTACTATACTAGCTACTAGGCGCTAGTGAGTGTTACTCTACACGGGTAGAGTTACTCTACTAGAAACTCTACCTGTGTAAACTTGGCTTAAGTCTTATAAGTATGATAATAGACAGAATAATTAAATATAGACCAACAGCAGTGCTGCGGATAGCATATATTCTGGCGTCCACCGCTAGGAGTGCCAAGTAGTTTTGGCGCACACCGCTGCAGCTTCAAGCACTAGCGAGCGTTGCCATGACAAGTTGGTAATTGAAGCCAGGGTTGCCAACTTCTGGAGAATTCCTCGGATTGCAGGGAGTAGGAGTTTGTTCCGATTAAAAAAATGGGCTTTTCCAATAAAATTATAGGATTTCTGAATGTTGTACTTTACCAATATTAAAAAGTGGGTCGGATACGTTGGTAGCATTTCGTTTGCAAGGGTGGTAGTGCTGGTAGCAGACAGTGAGTCAACGACGGCAACGATTTGATGAACACTGAGCACTCTCTAGCGGCATATTGCCGGACCTTCCTTTGACAGTATTTATTCTATTTGTCTATGGTATGATATGTATATATATTTTAGCTACTCCAATGGCTTACCTTCAACAACAATTTGCGGGTGAAGGATGTTTTGGTAAAGAGAGCAAATATACCTCCCACCAAGATAACCATGATTGCAGCCAATAGGTTGGGGAAACCAATATAGGCTTGTACCTACAAAACAAAACGTCCTTCATTGATTAGATGAACCTCAAAGTAAGATGATCATACAAGGGCCGAATAACACCTCGAATCTCTGTTTATTTACAAATCACCAAGCTTTATCATAAGACTTCTTATTCAAGCAACGTTTATAAATTCATGCCATAGTTTTATTTTTACACACAAGCCTGAAAGGTTCGTGCTGTAGTTTACCAGTGCAAGTGTGTCGATTTCAATTGCAGCAACTATTTACCAGCATTCACAAAACATAACAGCCAGAAGGTAACATGAAGCAGCCCTATGACCTGGTTCGTGAAATATATTAAATTATAGATTAAAGTCAATCTTGTACATGCAGAGAATAAAACCTTCTACTTACTGGTATCAAATTAGATGAAAATCTCAAAATTCAAAGTTTAAATAAATTAATGCTCTAATAAATATAAAACCTATCAAAGGAAACGTGGGTTATAGCAGCACATTCACTGTGATTCAGCACAATGATCTTTGTTTTTATATCTCAAAAATGGTCCAATTAAACCAGTGCTCATCCAGTAATTTTCACACCCATTACCAACCGCTAATTCTCTCCGACTAACCTGGACAGGCCTCACTTTGTCCTGTTCGTACAAGAACCGCTGAGATCTATACATGACTGGCCGATCAGACCCAGGGAATGGAGTACACCACTTGCCAATCACATCGCTCTTGTGCAGGGCTGACCTACAAACAGAGGACAATCAAGCTCAATCGTTTTCCATTCAATTTCTGTATTATATTTTACTTGACACCCATTGACTATACTTATTTAGTAGTTTAATCTTCGCTGGTCATCCAAGAGTCTGCTCACTTATTGACCCGAAGTTTGCTACATAGGTTTAGGGACTTAGCTGCACTCAAAATTAAGCAGTTAAGCCATCAATCATTTCAAAAGGATATAAGCTTGAAGAATCTTTCTAGGCACATTTGGAGTAGTTTATTTAATTTTCAATTAAAAGTATTTAGATGGTGCAGCAGTGTTCTAGCTGAGGGCTTACATTACGGAAAAATAGCCTGACACCTATTAGCTCAGCACATTTTTACTCACTATTTTATCTGTACTTATTTTCTAATAACACCAGGTTTTTAAGATGTTACTCAGAAATCCAGTACTCTTTATAGGTCATGAAAGTGCTTGATCGGCGAGAGTGTACTGTTTAATACTGTGTGATACATCACCAAAATGTCTCATTCTTAAAATTTAACTTGTAAGCAGATGACTAAGTAGATGACCTGGAAACCAAGCTATGATTACTACAACTTTACAAACCTTGGCTCCAATTTAGGAGTGAAAGATGGCAATCGTTCCGGATACAGTTTTTGGCGAAGAGGACGAAGTTCATTCCAATGAGTAAGTCCATACACAGCTGACTCCCACGTTCCATAGTGAATAGACGCACCCTAGTGAACAAAAATAGAAATGGGTTAACACAAGCGGATATTCTGTAAGCTGATTTGTGATGCTATCAATCATAATTTCAATTTGTTGCTACAAAAATTTTGTTTTTAATATATTTCTTATTATTGACTTGCATTTATATTTAATTTGTTAGTTTGTGAAATTGTATAAGAGATATTCTTAAACCTTTTTTTAGAAGTTTGTTAACAAAGACTTTTTCTCAAACATGTAAAAATACACACCTCAACTTTCTCATTGCTGTCAGATTCTAAGTAAGTCTCCACTGCATTCACCTCACCTAGAATAGATACAATCAAGTAAGTTCAAAAGCTGTTAATTAAAACTCCTATCAGTGAAACAGAAGAAAAATCAAAATAAATATTTTCTAGCCCCTGAGCTCTATAACTAAATCAAAACCCTTGTCTATCAGCTCCAAAAAACTGTGTGAGCTGATAGACCCTTGTCTATCAGCTCCAAAAAGGTGTAACAAAATGTCAGCATCACTGTGTCATCTTCAGACATTAAAGTTCAGCCATAAGGTGTGGATAAAACAGAAAAACATAAATGTCACACAGATACCCACATATTAAACACAGATTTTTATAGCTGGTCTGTTAAGGAACACACATTACTGAAGTAGCTGACTGGAGTCATCCTTGCCTTGTCTTGTAGGCGGCAGTGTTGTTAACAGCGTACTTTGCCCTCTTGGTCTTGGTTCACTCCTCTGATTTAAAATACTATTGAAAATGAAGTGTGATTTGAATTGCAGTTTATCGTTCAAAATAAGTTCACTATAGCATTTTTTTATGTGGGCATAGCCAAGTCATGAAGGATTTCCAAGCCTGTGTTGAGATATAAGGAGCATCAAGCATCTTCCTAATTCAAAAGCTGAAAAACAAAAATCAACTTTTGCTCTCCACCTGATAGATAAAAACACAACCTAAATAGCATCAACAAAGCAAGGATGACTCCACTCAGCAACTTGCTTGAGTGCAGAAAATGTGTGTTCCTCAACAGACCTGTTTTTAAAAACTCATCTTTACTATGTGAGTGTTCCGTGTGACATTTATGTTTTTGTGTTTTAACGACGCCTTATGGCTGAACTTCAATGTCTAAAGATGTCACAGTGATGCTGAAACGGCCATAGCATTTATTACATCTTTTTGGAGCCAATTGACAATGGTCATTTATTGATTTAGTAATTAAAAGTTAAATTAAAATATCTAAATTTTACAACAAATGAATACCACAGTAATACAGAGCACATAACAACTTTTATTCAGGAACAAATTTATTTTCTGATCTATACTTATAAAAGGCAAAGCCCTCACTGACTCACCCACTCACTCACTCACTCATCACTAATTCTCCCACTTCCCATTTACCTAGCAGGCTGAAATTCGGTACACCGATTCTTTGGGCATTAAATAGGAAAACTAAGTAGTTTTTATTCTGATCGGGCTCCGTCCCAGTGGCTCTGGAATTTCCCATGTTAACCTTATGATTTTTCATATTTAAAAGGAATTAATGAATCTTAACAGCTGTTTCAATTAAACAAGTTGGTTCTGTTCTGTGATGTTCAATAGCTTTAAAGTTACAAGGATTACCAACAGGGTGCAGCACTATTATTTTTTTTAATTTATGACAACAGCTAATTTGCAACCAAAAGGTGGGTGAGCGTAGCGAACGAACTTCAACCTGGAGGCGAGTTAGCGTAGCGAACGAGCTAACCTGAAGGCAAGTGAACGCAGAGAACGAGCTCCAACCTAAAGGTGAGTGAGCGTAGCGAACGAACTTCAATTCAATTATATATTAGACTTTTATGACTCTTTTAAAGGGACGATGAGTGAACAATGAGGGTTGAATGAATGAGTTGAAAGCTTTGTTACAGACCAAGACTAGCTTGTCATTTTCTCAGGACCATAAAAAAAATTCCTAATGATTAAGGAAAGCTGTGTTCAGGCTTGATCCATAAATAAAACTTCAGACTTTTCTCCAGATTTATCAGGCATTTAAATAACAGTAGACTCCCTCTTATCCGGACACCTTTTAACCGGACATCGATTTAACCGGACTACACTCGGCGGAAATGACATCTCTTTAACCGGACAATTTTTATCAGCACATCGGTTTAACCGGACTAGATCGGCAGGAAGTGGGCGGTACTGAAACGACTGTTCTCGTGGGAATGATTTGAGACCAGTGATCACGTGTCTAAATACAATGCTCTCCTAAATTTAAGTCAAATACATTTAGGTTGCATAACAAGTTTTTGGAGACGTCGGTTTAACCGGAAAAACCGTTATCCGGACTGGCCTCGGTCCCGAGGAGTCCGGATAAGAGGGAGTCTACTGTATACAATATATATAAAACTTTTCAATCATTCCATTCACACCTTGAATTTATGTCCACTTTCATGTCTGATGTTCTTCTAAGTAGAAAATCAATAGTTACCATTATTAATACAGTGCACAAAAATACTCATCAGATACTCATGAATATAGTAACTAAGGGTTGAAGGCTCCTTCTGTATCAATCAAATTGATTTTGGTAAAACATTTCAGTTTGTGATTTTATAGAAATGAACTTGAACTTAACCCTTTTAACTCTCATTTTAGTGCCCCGCCTCATACCCTAAGAAGTTTAATTTATTATGCAGGTCACTAAGTCTAGGTACCAGTATTTTAACTTTAAATTACACTAATCATAAAAAATAAAAAAATATATTTTTTGTTTTTCATAGGTAGTATTTTTTTATTTTTTTCTGGAAGCCGACATGTGATACACTTGCAAAACGGCCAATGCAGCCTCACAGCCGACAAGAGAGTGGTGAAGGTTTTAAACTTAAAAGTAGCATTTTGGAAGCGTAAAAAATGTAGGATCATAGTCCTCAATAAGACTTACCATTAAACTTTTCAATGAAGTATATCAATCCCATGTCAGCAGGGATACTATCAAACCCACAAGCGCTTATAACATATACACCTTTCTCTTCAGCTGCTTTATTGTATTCCAACTGCATTTTCTCCATAAACTAGAAAAAAAGTAGATAATAAATAGCTAGTGGTGAATAAATAAATTAAAATAGCATCTAATTCCCATGATGGACTTCAGAGTACTTTTATATAAAGAATGTGTGAATTTATTGTGTTTAATAACGTTTGTGTATGAATAAGGACTCAAAATTTCTCTTCCTTATCCCCAACAAACCATAAAACCTCTTGTGCACCCAGGCTACAAAACAAGATAAATAATTCAAATTTATATTTCTTACCAAGTTAGGAATACAGTAGTATATCATTACAAGAGTAGAAAGTGAGTCATTACATATTTGAGACCATTTTTGAATTGCGAGATTTATCGAGCACTTTAAATTGTGGAGAATATGTATAGACCCACTTTCACTCGTGTTTTGAACGTTACTTTTCGCTACACTACAAAGAATAACTATTTTCTTCATTACAAAACTCATAGAATTGTTTAGGTTATGCCTTCAATTTAAAGTTAATATTTACTTGAGTTGTTGAAAATTTAAACAGTTGATAAAACAATAACAAATATTTGAAGTTGTTGACAGTGGAAAATTTTCGGTTGTAAACAATGTTACTTTCGGTAGTAAACAATAAACAGCTGTTGAAAATGTGATGTTTTGCAGGTTGTAAACATATAATCAAAACAGCTCAACTCATAGTAGTGAAGTGAAAAATAAATAAAAAAATAAATAATACAGAAACATATCAAATTAATGTTACCAGTCCACACTCACCTGAGGTTCACCACTGACATCAACGTGATGAGTTCCGTTCTCTATGCAAGCCTTCACCACTGGTTCGCCATAGAGGCGGTACGGACCAACACAATTGGCTACCACTTTAGCTCTGGCCGCCATTGCACTCAAGGTTGAAGGATCTTTCACATCAGCTACTATGACGGGTACAGTGGACAAATCCTCCCCTACAAACGAAACATTAGGTCCCTATTAGTGACACTACAATAGTCACTCAATCTTTATTATAACAGGTTACGTACCTTGACGTCCACAATTCCTTAGTCGGTATCCGTTGACTATAGTTTCGACTACTACGTAGTCATTATCAAAAACGGAACGTTAAAATATTACATTCTTTGAATGTCGTCAAATCTTAAATACATCGAACACATAAACAAATATAACACGAACACGGTAAACATTTAACATAATTGGCCACCATTCTAAATGTCTACCGTGTTCGTGTTATGTTTGTTTATGTGTTCGATGTATTTTAGATTTGACGACATTCAACGAATGTAATATTTTAACGTTCCGTTTTTGATAATGACTACGTAGTAGTCGAAACTATAGTCAACGGATACCGACTAAGGAATTGTGGACGTCAAGGTACGTAACCTGTTATAATTGATTACCAATTCCGGAAGGCTTCAACATGAATCAATCTTTATATATAAGAGGAAGTATGTATGTTTCCAATGGACTCAAAAACCTCTCAACAGAATTTAATGAAAATTTCAGGGATTATTAAGAATGTGTCAAGGATATTGCCTGTGAAGTTTGGTGTACATCAGTCAAAAGGGCTCCGCCCCCGGAGGGTTTTGAGGGGTCTAGTGACAGACTTTTGTAACTTCAATGTTTACAAATAAATGTCATTTAAAAGCAGAGATGTTTACTTTCACCATCAGTTTCGTAGGTTTGAATAACCACAAAATGCTGTGTATTAGTCATGATTTGAAATAGTGCCACCACACCGTTACCACAGAAAACTATTTTACATTTCTTTTTTGGACAAGTCCAAATATATTAAACCCCAATCGCAGCACACCTGTGCACTCAAAAACGTTGAAATGCTCCACTATTAAATATGTAAAATATAGTCATCATCTCAACTATTTCATTTTTTTATTTTGTTATTTAATTAAACATTACAGTACTAACAACATGCATGACATTAGGAATGGCAAATTGGTATTACTCTGACATGTCCCTCTTTGTTGAGATAGTTATTGTAAATTAAGAAAGTGTGAATTTCTCTTTCCTTTGTTTGCTCACTCTCCTCTTAGAACCCACCCCTACAATAATAAGTTTACAGTTGTTGGTACGGGAACATTCATTATTATTATCAATGACCTTTTTTTATATATCAATATTTTATTTTTCGATCCGATATACAGATCCAATATTAACGAATTGAAACATGTCAGCTGACAATACAACGATAAATTGTTCAGTATCAACAAAAAATTAATTTTAAATTTGTACGTACACCATATTGAAATGAAACTGTTTTCAACTAAACATAACTAACCATTATGGTAACTTGCTATACCATTTCAAAATTCTGTTTGATATTTCCCTCATGCCTTTTTTGTGTTATCAAACGGAATTCTGAAATAGTAAGTTACAGCAAGTTTGGTTAGTTATTTTAGGTTAGGTTAGAACAGTTTGATTTCTTAATCCATTAACTTATGTATTATTTTTCCTAAACAAGATCAGTTGTAAATTTGTAGGTAATTTAAATGGGTTTGAAGATATTAAAACAAGGAATATGGATTGTAACTAAGGAAAACAAAAATATCAATATATAGAAAAAATCATCGATAATAATGAATGTTCCCTTTAACAGGAAAGTACCCAGTTCTTTTTTATGTCCTACCTTCACGACTCTAGGTTTTAGCCCGGAACTGTGTTACAACAGATTACTTTATAGGCTAGTCCTAGAGGGTTTCCCGGCATTATCACATGGATAAAATCCATTGGTGTTTAGTGGGATTTAAACCCGGGACCTTGGACACCGAATCACGGGCTCTACCACTAGACCAGCTCGCTTCTAAGTTTGATACAGTAATAGCTTAAATAATGGCACAATCAGGAGTGCCTAAACACAATGGGTTTATCACTGCATGTTGACAAATAATAAAGATTAATGGTTAATGAATAATTACAGTAGGTAGTACCTACCTGTTTTGTTAGAAACTTCTTGGAGAACTTGTTTCAACTTGTCCTCACTTCTTCCAGCCACGCCCCAGGTTATATTTTTATCTTTAACAAACTTCAAAATTTCCTTGACTGCTACTTTTCCTGTGAATCCAGTAGCTCCAAAGATGACAATATCTAACCTTGAAGAGGCCATTCTGTGATTCTGTAACATAAGAAGATAGTTTTATAAACTTGAGCTACTTATGCGATTTTTACAAACATTTTTGTTTATTTGAATGATATAAGGCAATTGTTAAAAAATTTTCCTCGAGCACAAGTAAGTAAGTATAAGTTCAGTATTACCAACAGTTTTTCTTTTCCAAGCACCAACAGTTGTTATTGTTGTCTATGACAGTAGTTGTCTAGATTGGAGGATGGAAATAGTAACTTCAGTGACAGATTACTCATTAGGTACAATAGGCAACTGCATAAGGGCTGCAGGTCTCAGGAGGCCGCAGACAGAAAATAAAAATAAAATTGTAGTAAAAATAGTTTTAAAAAGCTTAATGGGCAGCTGAGTGGTTATAGTGCTCGCCTACTAATCAAAAGGTCGCCGGTTCGATCCTGAGAAAAGTCAGTAGCTTTTTGATGGGTCGAAACTGGACCCAGCTGTCCCTGATCATTGGGCTTTAAATAAATGATCCTGGCTAATGAAACAGCTGATCTTAGTCAGTAACAAAGCTACACAGGTCATCACACACCATTCTACACTCATATTTGGGTTAAAATACGCACCCAGGTAGCGTCCCCATCTCAATGATTGATAATTGATAATTAAAAAACTAACAAATTTAAAGCCAGTTTCTTCTAATTTCTTCTAACCCCCGAACCCCTCATCTGCCTGAGGGGTATGGAATACCCCCGGTACACATCTTGCCACCTCAATTAAAAGTCTGACATGACGCCCATGGGCGGGGGGCAAAGATTACATGTGCCTAGGGGCCGCTGAGGTCATAATCCACCACTGAGTAACTTAGATGGTTTCTTAAGTAAACAAATTTTCTTACGTTCAATGGTATATTGAACCTGAATGGAACCATGAATGGACCTGAATGGAAAGACTCTCCTTTTTGCCGATGACTCAACCTTGGTAAACAGAGGATTAAGCGTTGAAGACGTTCTGTCAGATGCCAATGAAACCTTCACCTCTGCTAAAAACTGGTTCCACAGCAATAAGTTAAAACTTAATGAAGATAAGACTCAAAGAATATTATTGTCTCTAAAAAGAGAAATTCCAGCAGGGAACAATGAACCAGTCAAAATTCTAGGCTTCTGGCTGGATAACAGGCTTGATTGGAATTTTCATGTTGCTAAGATCTGTTCAAAATTATCAAGAGTAATTTGTCTTCTAAGGAAATTGACAAAGGCGTTAACTGTGGATCACCTTCTAGGAATCTATCATGCCTTGTTCCACAGTCATGTGAACTATGGTCTTCTGTTGTGGGGACACTTGGCTGCCTGCAGTGATGCTCTTATTCTGCAGAAGAAGGCGCTAAGAGTTATGGCATCAATTCATGACCTTGAACACTGTAAACCTCTTTACAAAAAATTTAGAATCCTCACATTATATAACCAGTATATTTTCAACTCTCTAAACTACATCAAACAGAATATCAATCTTTTTAATGACAGAACTACCATACACCAACATCGAACTCGTAAAAGAACTCAAAATCTGAAAGTCCAAAGATGCAGGCTGAGCAAAACACAAAAATTCTTTTCCAATTGCAGCCCATAAAACTATTTTACCTACGACCGTTTTTTAAAGTAGCCATTTCAGTTCAGTTCTTAGAATTGAAAGTTTCACTTAACAGCTGTTTACTTTCATATCAGCATAGTTTCATTTCATATCAGCATAGTTTTTCTCATATCAACACGGGTAACGGACCAATGAGGTTCAAGGATTGAGAGAAAAGAAGTACAATTGAAATACTTCGAACGTCAACTAATCAGCTGATCAGTTGACAACTTTAACTGTTGATCCGGCTTGTTCCTGTTGATACTCGCGTATTCTTAACCTAAGTTGGTGGAAGTTAAATGAAGGTTGATTTTAAAATATCAGTTAGTGAAAGTGATGTTGACGAGATAGAAATGAGAGCACAAACTGTTTGAGCTAATCTTTTTCCACCAAAATCAAAACAAAGGTACCATATGCAATTACATACCAGCAATACATTAAATGGACGAAACAAAATAAAGTTAATTGATAAATGAAAATGTTCTTCCGGTTTATTTTGAAAACCTCTTAACCACTTTTTCACCCAACTTGTTGTGGACCACATATTCGATGCTGAGATCTAAGTTAACTGTAAATTAACTGTTTCACTATATTATTCAGTTGTCCAAAAATATATGCAATATTTCCCTAATTGTACCTGATACAGTATTTATGGTAAGAATGCTGCTAGCAGAACCTATTGCCTGAAAAAGTAACGTATTATTTAACAAAGTTTTACAAACACATAATTACATGAAATCAGCTGATTATACAATAAGTCGTTGCATCACTTTCAGTGACAATGACAATAAACGAAAACATAACCTCTCTAGGAAGTTATGAGTAGTGATTGTTAGTAATAAAAAACCAGAATTTTAGTAGGCCTAATTAAAAAACGGTCGTAGGTAAAGTAGTGTACGCAACTCGCGTTAATAGTCTTTACGACACTCGTAGAAGTTTTAAGAAAATTTCTACTCGTGTCGTAAAGACTAACTTAACGCAATTGTTGCGTAAACTACTATAACAGCCTCCCAGCTGACGTGAAAAGCCTCACAACCTCAAATTTCAAGAACCACATCAAACATGAACTTTTAGAATGGCCAGTATACACCCTGAATGATGCAGAAGGAATCCCACTATTCAAGGGAAAGAAATAGCCGAAAGGCCGTTAGGCCTAAGCAAGCCCTTTTGACTCTATTTGCTGAAAATGAGAAGCTAGACATCTTGTGTTTGTGTGAACATTTTTTAACTCAAAATGTAACTGACTTTTATAGCAAAATATCTGACCTCAATGCTGCCAGTTTTTTCTGTAGGTCTGAAATTCGGTGCGGTGGGTCTGCAATTTACATCCGTAGCGACATCGATTTTAATGTCTTGAATGTAAATAGTTTCTGTAAAGAACTTGATTGCGAACTTGTTGCTGTTCTTTTACCTGCTCAAAACACCATCTGTGTATCCGTTTATCGTTCCCCTAGCGGAAGTTTTGAAAGTTTTTGTGAACTTTTTGAACAGTGCCTTGTCTTTCTGAACAGAAAATCATCTGTTAAAATTGCTATAGCTGGAGATTTCAATGTAAACTTCGTTGGAGATGACCATAGAGCGAGGACTGTTGTGGAGCTCTTGAAATCATATGGCCTGTACATTACCTGCTTTGAGCCAACCAGAGGAAGATCCTGCCTCGACAACGTTGCTGTTAACTTCCAACCCTCCGACTGTGACACAAGGGTGGTGGAGCTGCATGGGGATGATCACGCAGCCTTGGTAACCTCTCTCAATGTGGCAAACTGCAGCCTGGTAAGCAATACTTCTTTATCCTGGCGTGTGAATTATACTTTTAGTTCTAGGCTAGTTGATGATGCTGATCTTGTGCGTTTCAGGGAGGCACTTGCCAGCACCCCTTGGGAGGAAATCTTAAATGATGCTGGAGTTAGCAATAAGTTGTATGTTTTCTTTAAAAAATTTCAGGAGATTTTTGATATGTTTTTCCCTGAAAAAATCAGACCTTACCGACCCCAGAAGACCAAAAAGGTTAAACGTTTAGTTAGCCACAAGGAATGGTATACGGATGAGTTGGCTAGGATTAAAGCTGTGATGCTAGCTCTTAAAGATAGGTCTGCTGGCGGTGAAAATGACAGGTACCTTTTAAGGTATAGACAGGCCAAGGCTTATTATAAGGGACAAATTGAGATGGCAAAGAAGAAGGCTACTGAGTCACAAATCGAACACGCCCCAAATCGCTGTAAGGCTGCATGGGATGTCATCAACTCGCACAGGTCTTGCACTAGACGGCCTGTTGAATTTGCAAGCCCTGATACCTTTAATGGATATTTCATTGATTCTGTAAGAGCTATTACTGAGGCCTTACCTGATGTAGATGTGGACCCCATCCAGCTTCTGGAATCTAGAGTGAATCCTCCACCTGATACTCTAACAGTTTTCCAACCTACTCCTCACAACCTTAGAAAGCTGGTTCTGTCTTTCAAGCCATCTAAGAGCCCTGATGTGTTTGGTATGTCCACCTACATACTTCAAAAAACTATTGATGCCATCGCCATTCCACTTGCTGCTGCTGTCAACGACTGCCTTAGTTGTGGCGTCTTCCCGGACTTTCTGAAGACCTCGAAAACTGTCTCTATTTACAAGAAGGGTGACCACCAGAGGCTTAATAGCTATCGGCCCATCTCCATAACTCCTGTCTTCGGAAAGGTGGTAGAAGCCACCATAAAACCCCAGCTTGAAGCATTTTTTGAGGGACTTGACCTCTTCTCGAATATGCAGTTTGGCTTCCGTAAGGGCAGGTCAACCGTTGATGCTGTTGCAAAAGTTGCTGCAAGCGTGGAAAATGCATTTGAAAACCACCAAGCTCTCTCTCTGACTCTCTGTGATATCAGTAGAGCATTTGATTGTGTCTCCCACTCCATCCTGAAAAGGAAACTCCACTTCTATGGGATCAGGGATGCCGCTCTTGCCATCCTGAGTACTTACCTCGAACGGCGCTCGCAGGTCGTTGCAGTTGGTGGAGCTGTCTCCAGCACTTTGCCAGTTGATTTTGGTGTCCCCCAGGGTTCAGTGCTTGGGCCTACCCTTTTTCTCATCATGATCAACGATCTCGACAACCTTGGCACTACCCTTATGTTTGCAGACGACACTTCTCTCCTGTCAGCTGGTACGAACATCGATCAAGCTTTGGCCATCTCCAGACAGCGTCTTGAAGATACAACTGCCTGGTTTCTGGCAAACCGCTTCCAACTAAACGAGGATAAGACACAGCACATCATCTGCAGCCTCTCCAGAGATCAGCCTGGTGTTCAAGATCCAGTTAAATTGCTTGGATTTGTTCTTGATGGGAAGTTCAGCTGGATACATCACATTGACCAGACCACCAACAGACTCTCACGGATCTGTTTCCTCCTCTTCAAGCTGAAATTTTGTGTAACGGAGGCATATTTGGTGATGGTGTACCATGCCCTCTTTCACTGCCATGTCAGCTATGGTCTTCTTCTCTGGGGACACTCGCCAAAGGTTGTTGAAGTGCTTAGGCTCCAGAAGCGTGCATTAAGGATTATTACTGGGAGTGAGTATCGTGCTCATTGCAAACCCCTCTTTGCACGACTTGGTGTGCTTACTGTAGTTGGCCACTACATACTTCTCTGTCTGGTGCACGTTAGGGCTAATATAACAACCTTCACCACTCGTGTTGACGTCCACCAGTATAACACCAGGCAGCGCCATCAGCTTGATGTACCAAGGGTGCGACTATCTAGGACCCAGGCTAGTTATAGTGTGTCAGCCATAAGTCTGTTCAATAAGCTGCCACGACATATCCAGTTGTTGGACTTGAGAACATTTGAGGCAGTGTTAACCACTTTCATCAAGAGCCGGGCCTATTACGATATTTCAGAGTATTTGGGGGATGATTTAAGAAGCCTGTAGCCTGCCGGAAGTATGTAAATAGTTGTAAATATTGTTTTTGTATTAGTAATCGTGTTAAAGTGACGCTGTCAATCCCACATTGTGGGTAAAAGACGAAGAAGGAGGTATTAAGGTAGGTATTAAGGCATCTGACACAGTCAATCCCACAAGCTGGGTCAAAGACGAAGACATCAAGTATCAAGTAAGGAAGTATATTGGCTAGGCTACTAACTTAGATTAATATATAGGATTTTGTGGCTGTATTTTTCTTTACGTCCTACACTCATTTGCTTTACGTCCTACACTCATTTGAATGAAAATATCGATTATTCGATTGTTTCATTCAATATATTGTATGGTTAGTTAACTTAGGTTAGGTTAACTTTACCTAACTAACCAAACAATATCGAATAATCGATATATCGATCGATATTTCCATTTGAATGAGTGTAGGACGTAATGTGCAGCCGATTTTGTCTAAAAGCAAAAAGTAGTCCTGAAGGTTTAGAAGGTTTGCAAAAGATAAAAGCTGCCAAAGTTAGAAAACCTAGGCTAGTTAGGACACAGCTCTAAACTAGGCTACTGTACATTTCAGGGCATTAATTTGCGTTACCATACATTGCTTAAAATTAATTGACCTAAGTTAAGTTAAAGTATAATGCCTATTAAGCTTAAGTTATCACTTATCAGTTATTGTGCAAGCCTAACCTAATCAATCAAACCTTTTTAATTTAGAACTTCTACTCTTCAATACAAGTTGAACGCCAGCCAACAAATTAAGCAGGTTTCAACTAAAAAAAACTCCGAATTGCCAATTGAGCTTAAAAATTATAGCTCAGGCTTAAACTTAAAAAGTTATTTTTACTTATTTTAGCACTGACACCGACAAACACAAACTTGCTGCTCGCTCCTTTCTAGTGTTTGGTATCGATATCCGATATATCGGAAATATCGATATTTTGGTTCCGATATATCGATATTTTTATATCGATATTAGACTTCCGATATTATCGGGATATCGATATTTTACTTCGATATTATCGTTAGAATTGATTTTCCGATTTTAGCAATTTTTCAAAGAATAATGCAAGAATAAAATACAGTTTAATCTTTTCTGAACTTGTTTAGCAGTTATTAAATATTATTAATAACAAATTTATTTGTACACACACACTATTCCATGTATCTAGTTAAATATATTTTTGTAATCTGGTTGCCTCTTCCTGCATTTGAATAGTGAGTTGGCACGGTTGGCAGAAGTGGAGTGCCAAAATGACGTGACGGCAGTGAAAACCAATAAAAACCATTGAATTATATATATTTTTTGTACACAAGCCTAAAAAATTATAAATTGTAAACAATTTAACGTCATATGTGTGCATCTTTTAACTGTTCATGGTGGTACTTTCCTGTTAAAGGGAACATTCTTTATTATCGATTATTTCTTTTTGAATATCGATATTTTATTCTTCTATCCGATATATTGATTATAACAAATTAAAACATATCAGCTGACAACTTAGATAAGGATAGGCTAAATAAATATTGTTCAGTATTAACAAAGGTACTTTCCTGCTAAAGGGACATTTTTATATCAATGATTTCTTTTGATGACATATCGATATTTTTTTACCGTCTGTATATATTCCTTTGTTTTAATATCTTCAAACGCATTAAAAAAAAATTAAGAACTAACCTTGTTTAGGCAAAAATAATAGCCTATATCTGGATTAGGAAAAGAAACTATTCAACCTAACATAACCAAAGCCAACCAAACTTACTGTAGTGTAGGCTAAGTTACCGTTTCAAAATTCCGTTTGATTACAGAAAATGCATATGGGGAATAGGCTAGCAAACGAAATTTTGAAATAATACAGCAAGCTTGGTTGGTTAGGATAGTTTAGAATAGTTTCATTTCAATAATATTTTTTTAAATTTTTTGTTAAGGTAATTTCCTGTTAAAGGGATGCATTGCGATAGCATTCCAATTCCATTAATTTTTAACGATATTTTTCCGATATATCGATATTTTTGGTCCGATATTATCGGAATATCGATATTGAGGCTCCGATATTATCGTCGATATAAATATCGATATTTTCTTTCGATATCCCAACACTACTCCTTTCCTTTCTCTGTTTTCTGTGGAGTGAGTGGAGTGTGGGTACGGGAGAAACAATTTTTATTTCAGCTGCAGTTTTTTAATACTGTACGTCTGTCTGTACGGACAAAGTGAGAGTGAGAGATTCCCAATCCAATAGAATAGAATCTATGATAGAATGTACTCATTTCGTTCGTCCGTCCGTATCGAAAAAACGCAGCTGAAATCAAAATTGTACGTCGGTTCGGTCCGGGTCCGGCAGACCGGCACGGCACGAATTACGAAAGGGAAGGCACGACACGAGCACGAGCGTTCTGTCTGTAGCGTTTGTTTTGTTGTTGTTCGTTGTTCTGTTATTTGTAATTTGATTGAGTTTCATTTAATTATTTCATTCTCATTGTGATTGTGAACTGTGAATCTAAACCAGACCGGCTAAGAAACTAAATAAATCTATCTTAGATGTTGATTTTTATTTTTAATAAATTCGTACATGATCATTTGTGCATTGTTAAGAAAAACTTGAACATTCAAAAAGATCCCTAGAAAATCCGGACTTGACCGAACCGGCTGATGGTCCCAAAGTTTTCCTTATTTTTAATATAAGGGATAAGTTTACTCAACTAGACCTTACTAAGTTAGGCCTATGGATCCAAACATGGTAACAGTGGGTAAGTTATTGCTATTCTAACTTAGGCTAATTAAAATTCAAAACTAATATTCACATAGGGGTAGACTTCCGTAGCCTAACTTATCTGTTGTCAAAAACAACCGAATGAAATAATCGATGTATCAAATAAGTTTTTATTTGGTTGTTTTTGACAACAGATACGGAAGTGTACCCCCACATAGGCTAGGGCCTAGGCCCAAAAAAGTCATCCTAAACATTTTTCGAGCCAGTAATTAAGGTAAAATGTGTGGTAAGTTACCGGTAGGCCTACCTCTTTTACCAAATTAGATGATAGGCTAGCCTAAGTTAGGACTATTAAGCCTAGGCTACAGACTCTTTGGGCAAGAAATTAATGCGTTGTTAAAACTTAAGTCATGTTTTAGTAAGTAGCCTACCTTCTTATTAAGTTAATAAGTAGCCTACCTTCGTAAAAGTTATTCATATTCATTGGTCTTCGTCATTGACCCACTGGCAGAGGTAGGGATCCCAGACGTCCTCTTTTTCCCGGACACGTCCTCTTTTTGGGTACCTACAAAAAAAACGTCCGGGGGGATTTTTGGCAATACTTTCAAATGTCCGGGATTTTGAATTTGTGAGAGGATAAAAAAATATTTCTGCAAGTATTAATATTAGCAATCAGCTTTTATAAGAAATCGTCATCATAACATTAAACTAAGTTAAAATACAACACTTTAATAATATCTGACGTATAAAAGTGTCATTTCCTCTTTCTTTAGGTCAAATTTTGTGTATAACGTACGCTAGAAACCATTGGAAATACTGTAGAACCAAACGGAACGGAAGGCGAACAATGGGTTTCCTGCTTTGCCTGACTCTGCTGACTGTAAACTATTAACTCTGCTCACTAGTAGCCAGTTTGCCAGGCCAGTAGCATACTAGCGACCGTCAGCCCGCACCCCCCCCCCCCCCAAAAAAATATTTTATATATAGGCCTAGATAAACTATTATAGGCCTATCAGTGGAACTTTAATAATTTTTATTGCAAATCGTTCTACCAAATTGAATTCATTGTAGTCTTACACTTGTGGCAAACCAATGGACTAATTTACAAACTCTAACCCAAACCTCGGGATCGTTCGAGCCTGACAATTTTTTGTACATTATGAAAAGTAGGGAAGATCGGCAGACGACGGACGCTTTCAGCGATATACGGCAACGGCAGTGTCCGATGCTGGCGTTCGACGTTCGGCCGCATTCTTCTTATTAAATTTTTCGGCATTTGATGTTACCATTAATTTTAACCTAGATGGTTGAAAACTTCAATTGGGTATTGGATAAAGAAAAGAAGTTGTATCAAAGTCCAAGCTTGAAGGGTAGGCCTAATTGAATATTAATTTATCTAAACTAGGTCCTCAAAATAGCTTAAAAACTACTAATTTTAGCACGTTATTTCAAAATTTACCCCCCAGGCCACCCGGTGACCCCCCCCCCCCAAATATATGTCTAGGACCGCCCTTGGTGAGTAATTTTGTCCTCTTTTTTGATGGAGGGTCCCTGGGAACCCTAGGCAGAGGGAATAAGTTAGACTGTGTCTAGTTAGGTACAAAAAAACCCAGAGGATACGCGTCCGGTAACCGAACGTGGACTAGGCGTCCGATAGTGACGTCACTAGGTTGTGGGGGCCCGAAACACCATTACCACAACTATATGGCGTAAGCCAATGGTGTTCGCGGTGTAGTGGATAGAGTACTCGGCTGACATACTTAAAAGAGATAAGTTATCTAGATCCAATGCCATCGGTGACACTAACTTACTTAACTTTTTGTCAAAGGTTTTGCTTAGAATGCCATTTCTTCTTAACACTACAAATAGGTACCGTACTTTTGTTAGAATTTGAGGCATTTATAGGCTAATTTTATTTTATGAACAGGATTCAACCTTCATTCGATTTTTTATTATCAGCAAGTTTGGTTAGTTAAGTTAGGTTATGACAGTAACTGCCGGACGCCTAATCCACGCCCGGTTTACCAAACGCGTAGGCTATATAGCCTACATCCTATTCAAAAAACAGATTAACGTAGTACCGGTAGTCAATTATAAAACCCAACTTTAAACTCCTATATCATAGTACCTCAATAAAAATCTAATGTTTTATGTAACTTTTAAACAAATTAACCACGGTATGCATAGCCTATTTGGACGTGGCTGGTATTGTTTTATGAAAAGTTCAGTTGTTTGAGCGAATTACCTACCTATTTATTTCTGCTGTTGAAACTCAAAGTAAGTTGTGTTACCATTATGCATTTTTTTTTTTTTTTTTTTTTTGCACAAATGAATAATTTATAGGACTGTAAGACTGTTTATGTAGGTAGCCTATGAGATATTCTTTCATAAAACCTGGTTTACTCAGGCCATGTAAAAGAGTTGTAGGGAGGCCTACTTACACTGAGTTGGGATGGTAAAGTGGGCCTATGCTTTTAATTGCCAGAAACTCCGTTTTAAATGCTCTGTCGAGACCCAATTTGAAAACTGTAAAGACGATTGAGAAGTAGGCTAATGTTTAAGTTAGTTTCATTCCAGCACCACATAAACAACCCAACAAATCAGCCGAAGGCTGAGAAAAGTGCAGAAAAATGGTTGAATGGCTGTTTTTTTGAGACAGCCACTCTTTGTTTTCTCCATGTATCTATGTTTACATCACTTAGTAGACTTGCCCTGTTGAGAGTTGGGACTTATATGTGTGCTTACTGCAAGTTTAAACATGCCTTGCCGCCTTTCAACTCACCTTGGTACCCAATTTGTTTAAAGCAGCTTTAAACTTTCCACTAGGTTAGTATGAAAGAATAACTCACAAGTCCCTATGCCAAGCTCACCTTACAAAATCTGACAATCCCCTCAATGCAATAGACAAATTCTTCACCCTTTAATTGCTGGTATTAACCATTTTTTCCCCTTCTGATATGATGCTCTATTATGACAAAGTGGAATAAAGGGTCCAAATACAGAGATGTTGACTGCAGGGGTGTAACTACAATATGTGTTTTGTTTGGAGACCTTTTGTAATTTTAGTTTTTTGGCCCTTTTTCTGTAGTCCTCAGAACTAGAGATACATAATTTCACTCTACAGAGTCTAAACTGTAGAATGTTTTTGCACCGTTAAGTAAGCCCTAAGTTTAACTTATTCGTACACTGTATGTAATTTAGTTGACAAAAAATTAGTTTAATGAGACACTAAGAAAGGCCTCTCAAATTGTAAGTAATTACTTCTTTTAGGTACTATGGATAGCTCAAAGTGTCTTGATCCAGAGACTCATCCGTTCTGTGTGCCTCAACGAGGTGTGACTTCCATTGACGCAATGGAGATCTGGCTTAAATCTGAAGCATACCTCGTAAGTTGTATCTGAGTTTTATTGCAACTTTTTTCACACATAACTTGAATGAGATTATCTATGTGATAGTAACAAACAACCCTTAACAAACTTGTTATAAAAATTTTACTGAATTAAAAAAGCTCAGCTTTGGATATAATGTAATTCTAAATTTTAAGGTACAAAAGACCAATGTGTAATATTTTTGTAATTTCAGAAGCACTTTCAAAACATTTACTAGCTTACGTTCCAGCTAAAGACTAATGAATTTTCAATCTTCCAGGAATATATAGGATTCATTACGGCAATGAACAGAGAAGTAAAGGGAAAACCGTTATCAGTGTCCTGCCCAGAGTCAGAAGTTACCGCAGGGGTTCTCTCATTACTAGAGAAACTAGACGTTTGGATTACAGAGACACCTCCTATCCAACAGCCTCAGCGGTTCGGCAACAAAGCCTTCAAGACTTGGTACACCAAAGTGAAGGAGGTGAGTACAGTTATGGGTATTCTAATCACTTCATAATATTTTTAATCCGTCCTCAGATGGGTGAGTCAAGTAGTTCTGTCATGAATGCAGGGAACTGTAAAAACAACGTCCTAGTGCTGTCACATGTAAAAAAGTGTATTAGTACAGTTCATTCTTGTTTTACTTTTTACTAGTGATGAGCCTATTTCAGAATGTGTAGATTCTGATTCCAGAACTTTGGTTTTGATTCTCGATTCCGCACTCGATACCGATACCTTTTATTAGTTCACTTAATAACACATAGTTATGTGTGTTTTTCTTACCCTTATGAATAAAAGAGCATTTTATTTCATCTTTAGCCTATACAATAAAATAATATCCTACATTTTAACATATTTATTAAATTAAATTGAAACAACAAACACCGGTTCCTCCTAATGAAGTCTGGTTCAATGTCCTTCTCTTGCTCAGGGAAGTACCGTACACACGGATCCTGAGCAGATTGTTTTTCTTTTTAGTATTTTTTGTCCTACTTGTGCTAGGAACATTACTACAATTACTACACTTACTTTACTACTATATTTACATCAGGATTGTCAGGATCGTTGAAAAATCCCTATCTCTCTGAAGTATCCAGTTTTTCATAATATAGCACACATTCTTCCCCATTACCACTTAGAAAAGCCCTACAATGATTCCACTGACTGATTTTGTCCGATATCAAAGTCTTCAATATTGTCATTGTCATTGACCTAAAAGTTCTCTAACAGAGATCATCACCAATATTTGAACAATTCACTACGCACACATCAATCAACTCAACAACAAAACAATTTGCCATTCGCATCGCAAAACTGTTTCAGAAGAAACATGTGTACAATAAAAATAGATCGCTAAACGTCTGTCTCTTATAGTCACCATGAAGCCCTGAATTAGCTAAACAGTTATACATCCTTATTAAAAAAAATAATGAATTTAACTTAGCGCCTGCACACTCACCCGATTTTGGACGGGCGACACTCGTACGCATCAGAAAACTCGCCCGATATCGGTTGGGAGACACCTAGAGGGTTAAAGGATATAAGACACTTTTATTTCTAGAACTCAGCTAACCTTTTGCAATAACGTAGATTGCTAACTTCTATAAGTTGTTTGAAAATAATGAGTAATCATGACGGTACATCACATTCTCACTTACAGATAGTAAAATTGGAGAATTCTTTTAAACAAACACATGTTGAGTGGTTTATTGGGATTCGTTTATTACAATATTGATGAAGATATTAGTATGGTGATGTAGGGCTTGGCCCCAAATACTCAGGCTGGGGAAAGTATAGCATGTCATGAATTACGTGGAATTTAAGAGGTTAAAAATAATTTTACAAGCCAGTATCTAGCTAGGCCTGTAAAATTGTGACGTAAATTCCCTGCCAGTGAAAACTCGTATTGTAACACAGGAAATTCCGCCACCTTTACAATCCACGAAGTCTCAGGAATCGCACGAGTCGGTTTGGTGGGATTTTCCAGGAGTCGATAGTGATTAGGATAGCCTCAGTATTGATAGTCTCGGTTAATCAGAGCTCCGAACAACTAAAGTGTCCCTAAACACCACACTTATAGTCACCACTCTAATTGGAGGAATTTGTGGGGGGAACCGATAATTTTGACGTGACTCTGTGGGTAGTTATTACTTAAAATGCTACTAACTACTTAATTATACGAGCAATAAACTAAGTAGTTCCACACTGCTTACCTACTGGGTTACATAGTAGTTTAAGCTGGTTACAATAGGCCTACCTTCTGAAATTACCCCCCTCACCATTTAGGCCCATTACAAAATCTCATGTACATAATTAACATGACGTACACAAATACATTCATGGTTTAACAGGCTTAAACGCTTTTTCTACATAATCTTTCGATAGAACAAATTCTTTCTACCTTTCACCTTATCAATTTCCAGAATGCCCTGGAACTCCTACAAGAAGTGTTGCCTGCTAAATTCCACCGTGCAGTGCCAGAAGTCAAAGAATACTTCACAGAAAGTTTTGGTAACTCTACCAGAATAGACTACGGCACTGGCCATGAGATGAGCTTCTGTATGTTTCTGTGTTGTCTATACAAGATTGGGGCATTCGTAGCTGCGGATAATCTGGCTGTAGTCTGTAAAGTCTTCAACAGGTAAAACTATAATGTTTTCATTAGCCTACTTAATTTAAACTGTTGCTATATAAATAATTATTCAATGCATTTTAGTGAATGATGTAAAAATAACATGTATCAAAAGTTTGTGAAGAATGTTTGTTTGCATGGACTTTAAATGGGAAAGAGTGTATTATCGAACAAGAAAGGCAAAACCCTGATGACACCCGAAAATTGGAATATTTCACAAACAGTATTTTAAGTTATAAAAGTTTTAAAGAGAAAGTAAGTTGCATAATTTTGAAATGTTCTTATATGACATAATGATGTAAAAATATGGTGGTAACACACAAATTGCTGTATAATTTTCTGATTTATGAGTATATGAGATTTCATTCTAAGAACTGGGAGCAGGTACTTTGTGCAGGTGGTAATTTCCATACGAGGATTAGTCCTGCGGTTACGAGATTTTGACTGTTCCTATTTGATAATAAACCCCAATACCAAGTCAAAGGAAGAACTTAATGTAATTTTAATAATGTACAAGGGTGTCCAGTCCAGCCAGCAAGTTAATGGTGAGTTGTTCGCTATTTGCGATGACCGATAAAAGTTTGCAAACTGTTTGTGAATTTTGTTCAGAACTAGGAATTGTTAATACTTGAATAATCATTGCCAATAGCCTATGGAGAGTTTACATTTCTTTGTTTACTGTTGATTCACTTTCCTAGATTGTTGTGCCAAGTATCTTGATAAGTTCTAGATGGCAAGAAATAATGACGATATTGTCGTGATCGCAACTATGTTCCTTATGGATGTAGTCGCGATCACTTTACCAATACTTTGGTGGTTGGAGTTTTGTATAGACACACCACTATTGTAAGAAAATAAAAACAAAAGTAACTTAGCACCCAGGGATGGATTTTCGTAATGCCAGGAATTATTCTGATAGCCACCCCAGCAACTCGTCTGATGCCGCCGCTTGTATATGCGACGGCAGTCTATGGGTAGAAACCAACCGTCGCATATGTGCGCCGCTGGTCCATGTGAATGAAAAATTTCGTACTATTGCAGTAGCGAACGTGTTGATTTAATTCAACAGAAACATTTAAAACGTGATGTCTTAGTTACTTATAGATAAAGCTTATTATTGTGTACACAATTTTTTTAATTATTTGCAGCCTAATTCTTTTGTAAGCTTTGCTTTATCTAGTTTTAAGTTGTTTTGAATTTAATTTGACAATTTCACCTGTTACCCAGCTTTGCTGGTTCAATTGTTATTGTTTAGTTAATCATTGACATTATTTGACATACCCAACTCTAGGTGCTGTAGTTGCTATCTAATGTTGATCGGTTGTAATAAAGTTTCATAAAAATGCTCTACATGATGACGAGCACTAACCACTCAGCTATTTAGACTATCATTGAACAAAAGCTTTTTCCTAAGTCACCCGACAAAGTTGGCTTCCTTGTACTGTTTATAGTAAAGAAAACTGCTAATTGCTGCATATTTATACTTTGCCGTATGGTTTATACTTTGGCGCACATCAGGATTCCAACGAAACAACAAAAAACAGCGTGGTTCTATTATGCAAGTAATTCGTGTACGCTTGGAAATAGGTTGGCAACACTTAAAGAAAAATAATACTATGAGCAGCTGTTTGACTATTATAACTACGATTTAACCTGTCATTTCGTGTTTATAGTTTATGTTCGCTGAACTTTCTGGACTTTTCTTTTAAACGTTTTAAAACATTCCTACGATCTTAATAAACAAGAATATATCTTTAAAGGATTTTTTTTGGCGCGGAAACCACTGCAAATTACAAAAACATACGGAACTATTTTCTCAAGTCACGGAGCACATTGCTTGTCGAGGAAAAAATAGCGGAGTGATACGGGCCGGTGACTACTTTCTCTAGGGACCTATTTGTGTTGCCAGCTGAATCTAAAAACGTGTTGTATAGTGTTTGAAAGATTAATTATTTATATGCTTTATAGTGACTGTAGGAAAAATATAATGTGTAACACAAGTGCAAATGGCCTTTGCTGCACACGAGAGCAATGTTTACGCACGAGCCGCAGGCGAAATACTACCTTTCGAGTTAGTGTCACTTTGCTCACTAGTTACACAAATAACTATTGTTACAAATATGATTACAAAGGATCTTGTTTTTGAGGTTTAATTGTACAACATGTAGATGTAGTTAAATATAAAAATGTGTAATGATTGCAGATACATGATTCTTGTCCGTCGTCTGCAGACCGTATACAAGATGGAGCCAGCTGGCAGTAGAGGTGTGTGGGCGTTAGATGATTACCAGTTCATTCCCTTCATCTGGGGTAGTTCTCAGCTCATGGGTGAGTTTTTTTATTTCTTTTAGCAAAAAAGAATCAACAATTTTTACTTGGGCTTAACCCATATTAATATGCTAGTTAATTAAAAAATAAATCTTATGCATAGATCATAGATGTACAACTATGGTAGGGGGTGTATATGTGCTCATATAAGTAAAAACAGCTTTCCCTCTAATTATCAAAGAACATTTACAGTCTTCTCATTCACCAATACTGAATCAATCCTTTCTTGTATATGAAGGTTTTTATAGCTATTTATAAAACCATATTGTGGCAGTAAATGGTCAGAGACTTGAAGGATGAGAGTTAACTCTGGTAACTTTTAAATAGAATCTCATATTTACATATACATGCAAGGAATGTCAACATATGTGATAAAAATACTACCTCTACAGGCAGGGTGTCTACCAACTGGGAAATATGGAGTACCTACTCAATTTTGGGTTAGCCATGAAATTTACGGGATATGTCCTTAAATAGTTTATGAAGTTTGCGTGGTCAATATATTCATGCTTTTGCCACAAACACGGATGATGTCGATAACATTTCCATAATCACAGTAGTAGGCAGTGGTAACATCTACAAAACTCCGTGAAATGTCCAGGATTTTGCCGTGGTCATGAAAGACTATGATGACGCTTCCGAGACCACGGGAGACGATGATGATACCACACGACCGCCTGAGATATTTAGGTTTTTTCCGTTATCCGCTATCTTGAATGACAATGATGAAATTTCCATGACCGCAGGAGATGATGACGATGACCACATGACCACCTTAGATATTCAGGAATTTTCTGTGGTTGCGGAAGACGATGATAATGTAACCATGACTGTGAGAGACGATCAGGGGCGTCTTCCAAGGGAGGGCGTGGGGGGGTAGATAATCTTTTATAAGAGTAAAAGTTTGGAGTTTTTGGGTATTTGAAGGTATGAATTGGGATTTTGGGAAGTTTGAAACTATCGTTAAACTGTCAAATTAAAAGTTTATTTTCAAACTAAGCAGACATTTACCCTTGTAAAATAACCAGCAGATTCCCCGTCCTTCGTACGAGGTTGGCAAGTTTAAAATGCTTATTGCAGTTATACTCAAGCTTTGCGTTTGCAATGGGGGAGGACAAAGTTTGATAAAAGTTGCTTCTATAAATTGACGGTATACTAATGGTATTACACATCTACATAGCCATAATGACCACTTCACCTAAACAATAAAGAAAAATAAATTATTACGAATTCACAAAAAAATCCCAAATTATTCATGACATTAAAAACATAAACATAACTGTAAACAATCCTACTTTGACAGTTCTCATTGCGTATCACAGTTGTTTGTTAAGGGTCGCCGGAATGGTCGCCCCCGGAAACATCACCCCCCAGGCTAAACATGACGTCACGAAACCAGACAACCAGCTGGTATAAAATCTATGTCCGCGACCGGAATCGTTCCCCCCCAAGGCTTGACAAGTAATCTATCAAAATCTAGTTGATATGAACTAATTATGTTATTAATTATAATTCAAACAAGTAGAAACGGAAAGGTCTTCCCCGGCAAGGCATCTCCTATGTACACCCCGGAATCGTCCCCCCCTGAAACGCTACCCCTAGTAGGGCTGTGCTGCTCGGCAGCCTACCTGCTGCCCGTCCTCCTCAGTCCATTGTTCTCAGGGTCGGCCGCTCGTTCATTATTATTGTCGCTTGGACAACAGCTTTTCCACAGAAGAAAATTGCAGACGCTGTGGTGGAATATCAATCAGTAGATTTAGATGTGTACGAACTTCTAAGACAACTAAATAATGCGAGCAAAGATTGACTTTAAAAAATGATTCTTTTATACTTAATTCATAACCAACGATAATGCGTAAAGTATACATTTTTTCTGTTGCATTAAGATTAAATGGTAGTTATACTTATCAACATCAGTAAACTTACCTTACACCCTATGGTAATTGTTAAGCAACACATTTGTTAAAAATAGAATAATTTCTAAAATGTATTAAAAATGAATCGCATTGCTTTAGGTTTGGCCCCGATTTAATTAATAATTTGAAAATTAGAAACAGATTATTAAATAAGAATAAACATAATATCTTTTAGGGGATTAATCCCTTAAACTTATCGAAATAATTCATTGTTAGTAATTACAACAATGTAAATGATACTATTCTAAAGGTTATGCCAAAAAGTACCTTTATTCAGAAACAGCCTAGGCTAGTTTCATATCACTGGAATAGCGTCAAAATATAATGAAAGTATAATCAAAATATCAGAATCACTTTAAATCGAGAAGAGGACTTGCAATCAGTGTTGATATACCAATTAATTAGTTTTGTTATAAGAAGAATAAGAATAAGAATAATGTTTATTTTCCCAAATAGTTACAAATGTGATATTTTGATGTGAAATTGTGATATAAGATGTATATGTTTAGAAAACCTTTTTGCTACTGAAGTTTGCAAAATTATGTTTCATAATTACTAAGGGGAAAATATACTTGAGTTCAAATTTTTAATATGTTATCAAAATTTGAAATGTTGAGCTGTAAACGTATATACTCCAATTAATGTATCACAAAGTGCCAATTATAATTAAAAATACCCCCGACAAAGCAAACCTGCAGACTAAGCGAATTTCCACTTGCCTGATTGGATTTACGCTAAAACGTCTCTGTAAAAATATCACATGTATTCCCTATTTAAATAATATTTCAATATATCAATATCAATTGATATGGGGACGCCACCTAGGTGCGTATTTTAACCCAAATATGAGTGTAGAATGGTGTGAGATGATCTGTGTAGCTTTGTTACTGTACTGACTAAGATCAGCTGTTTTATTAGCCAGGACCATTTATTTAAAGCCCAATGATCAGGAACAGATGGGTCCAGTTTTGAACCATCAAAGTTTAACGAGTACTTAGGTTTGCTGCAACAGGGAGGGAAAAAATGTGTTTTTTTTTTTGTAAAATGATACTAGTTTAGTATGAAATTAATGCATTTTCCAAATTTGATTAAAATATGTATATAAACAAGCAAACTACAACAGTTTACTTATTCTAAGTATAACATGGACATTTTAAATTTACAGATTTTTGGAATTTTCTCCGTAACCATTAGGCGCATAATTAACGCTTCAATATACTAAATTATTTGTTTTTTAAGCTCTACAAAATGGTTTATAAAGAAATTGCTAAATTTTAAGTTTTTAGTGTCAAAAATGGGAAAACCCAATTTTTACCCCATAAAATCCCCCATAAACCCCCGTTACCTTGGTTCGATCAAGCTGGTTCGCGAACTCGTTCGAATTCGAACTCAAAACGAAAAAGTAAATCGGTCCCGGGTCCAGGTCTTACCATGAGTACTACGGTAATAGCTTATTCCCTATAGGGGAAATTCGCTAACACAAATTTAGGATTTTGTAACAAAGTTTGGAAGACAGGTACTTAAATTGAGAAATAAATACACACAATGAGTACTAAATCGTCTATTAGGCCTATACATTTTAATTATGGAAAGAAAATACAAAAATATAACTGAATAACAATTTAATATTCTACAAAGTGTCAAGGAATTTATACAGTACCGGTACAAACTTCATTTACAATATAATTTAAAACAATAAAATATATCAAAACCAAAATCAAGAGCACAAAAAGAAGAAAAAAACATAAAGATAAATTGTTTGTGCTACGCACTTTAAATTTGTGTGTTTCGTTTCTTATTCTTATTTTTATTTCTTTATATAAATACACATTTTGCTACTGTAGTACCTTTACCTATTTGGTAGTGTTTGGTAAACACCTTCTTAAATGGGAAAAGGTTGAAAAATATGTTGATAATATTTCAAATTATCAAATCAAATATTTAGTCATTTTAACTACGTAAAAATAATGTAAGTAAATAATTAAATATATTTTCTTAATTGTTTTTGGCAACAAATAAATCATTAAAAACCTGGTAAACATTAAAGACCAGGAGCACAACAAATAAAGAAAGCAAAAAAATTATTTGTGTCCTAAATGAAAAATGGCTGTAATACAAAAAATAACGTTTTATTAAGTTGTAGAATATGCCTACGGTTATCTGTAAATATAAACCTATGCTCTTATTTAAGATTTCCTTCTGACTCCTTGCGGGATGTCCCCATTATGACAGAAAACTGACAGTCTTTAAAACGTTGTTTTTAGGTGTGGTGTATATGTACCAAATCTTATTGATTTATCTATTGCCGTTTTGAAAATATTAAGCCCATGCGGGACTTCATAAATACACCCTGTATATGTGACCGTGAGCGCGGTAACTCGGGCAACAACGCTGAGAGTTTGATGAGATATGTTACAAACGTGTAAGCCTAAGTTTATTAGAACGAGTTCGTGAACCAGCATAATCGGACTATGGGAACGGGTGTGTCTGAATTGCGAACACCTCCAAAATGCTGGAGACTGAACATAAGTCGCCAAGATTGCGCACAAATATTCGGAATCGGGGAAAATGGATGAGTCACTGTTTCTTGTAATTTATGGAAGATTTAATACAATTGTTTTAAATGTAATGTTTTAAGACTTGACTTGGCATGTACAAAAACGCAAAGAGTGGAAAAGTAAACGGATAAGCAAGAATTCATATGGGTGGGTTTCATCGATTTCCACTAGAGCGTGCAATTAATTGTGATATATTATATTTTTAAACGTGACAGAGTTTTTTTTTCATTTCAGGATTCTGAATCAACCACTTTCGCGATTTCGTGATTTTTGTGTTGAAATATATATAATTTTCTAAGGAAGGGAATGTCAATGCCATGATTTCATTTTTTTAAGTTTAATTTTTTTTAGTCTAGCAGCCGACGCTAATAATTTAAAGTAGTTTCAGTGCTGTTTTAACTAACAGCTGGTTTCAAACTGTCATTGACGTTTTTATGTTACAAGTAGTTTACTTAAATATTGATCGTCGGTGTTTGCCCGCATACTGTTTCAATTTTAAATGTTGTTTTTTCCTACCGTAACGGAT